CCCCAAAACCCCAAAACCCCAAAACCCCAAAACCCCAAAACCCCATATTTTATAACTTATATTGACACATTAAAATTAAGTGAACATTGAATTTTGGAATAATCCACTCATCCTCTTTTTATCTGACTTCATATTTCTTCTCGATGAACTGTAATTAAAAGAGTTGTCACTCATTGAGTTACTTCCTGGAAGTTTTATATATGGAGCATTCGTCATTGTAGGTCCTTTCTTAAAGTGTGAATTGCGTCCCTGCCCATGAGAATTTAGAAGATTCCCCACCTTTTCATAATTCTTTTTCAGAACTTTTGGTTTGCCTTTAAAACTCTTCGCATGCGAATGATTTGAGATAATAATTATATTATTCTGAGTATTGATAAGCTGCTTTGGTCTCACATGCTCATTGGATTTATTTAGGATTGCTAAGTTCTTTGCCTTGTTGTATTTTGTAGAAATACTACCCCCAATATTCCTCCGATTCTTACGAGACACTGATCCTATAGATAATTAAAATAAAATTTTACTTTTAGCGTCGATACTATTAGACAAGTTCTGTGCAATATTTGAAAGCCTTATTTGATAATTCTTCTTGATCTGGCCTTTGTAAGAGATCTTATTAGCCATTAATTTCTCATGGAAGGACTCCAAATTCCTATGTCTCTTATGCCGGTTCATCTTCTGAATCTTCTTTGGTCTCTCAAGACTGTTTGTATTAAAAATTTTCATAGTCTGACCATTACTGCTATTCTCATGGTATTTCAGCTGGCCTTGCTTCATATTGCTAAAACTCTTCATAAAGTTATTCCTTTTCTCAGGTTTCTTTAGCCCGATATTAGCAGGCCTGGTTCCAACCTGGTGCTCAGGTTGGTTCTCTAAGCTATTCCCTCTGCGCTTCTGTATGTTCTTTAGCAGGGCTGTTCTTTTTCTTTCTTCAGATCGTCTTTCATAAGAAACTTTATTTAAGGATCTTACACATCTCTTTAAAATCAAAATGTGCGCCTGTGTCTGGATCCTGCCACTTCGAGCCAGGGTCATCGTCTATATACTGGCCTTTGTAGTTGTTATGGTCGATCTCTGAGCTTTCAGAGTCAGAATAAGCCATTTTAAGTTATAAGAAAAATAAGTTTCAAGGAGGTTACAAACAAATGGGGTTTTGGGGTTTTGGGGTTTTGGGGTTTTGGGG